CCGAAACGTCGTCCTCTTGTCGTTCAACAGGCAGTCAATGTCCATTAAAGTTCTGAATCTAACAATATGACTTACCTAATGTTTCCAGTATTTGAATTATTTAAAATAACATAACAAAAGTTTCGTGTGGTTTCAGCACAGCCAAAGCCTCAACTTAATAAAGTCCGTCTTCATCGAGACACGAGGGATTCAGGTGCACGAAGTAAGTGATTTCATGTACGTTATTTGTATGATGTTTTCTTTAAGCTCATCTTCTCCTTAAATTTTACGTTATTTTTATCGTTATTTTTAAGCTCATCGTCTCCTTAGATTTTACGTTATTTTTATCGTTAATTTTAAGCACTTCTTCTCCTTAAATTTTACGTTATTTTTATTATGTCATTTTTAAGCTCTTCTTCTCCTGAAATTTTACGTTATTTTTATTATGTCATTTTTAAGCTCTTCTTCTCCTTAAATTTTACGTTATTTTTATCATGTCATTTTTAAGCTCTTCTTCTCCTTAGATTTTACGTTATTAGATATACAAAACAAATAAACAAACTTTCGTTTTTATTGTATCGTTCCATCTTTTCTCTCTGCTTCTGTTAATAATTCACTAGCCAGTTTTAATACTTAAATCTTTCAGTTTGATATTTACATCTTTGTTATGACTTCTGTCAATAATTTAGTAGCCAGTTTTAATACTTAAATCTTTCATTTTGATATTCACATCTTTGTTATGACTTCTGTTAATAATTCAATAACCATGTTTATCTCATCGAAATGTCTTCGTTTTGTGTTTATCGTTGTGACATACAATGTCTGTCAATATTCTCTTCTCTGTATTATTAACTCTAAAAACGTACTTTCTAATTTCTCTCTTCCACGTTTTCGCACAGCGCGCGGTTTCGGAATGAGAGTACTGGGAGGAAAAGCTGCTGACGATGGAAGTTTGTATACTGTTGTAGCATGGGCACGAGCTGGAGGGCCAGCCGAGCAGAAAGGAATTCATCAGGGTTAGCATAGCACTAACTACCTCCATATTTTTAAAATACACTATCGACAGTTTCTTACTGTGATGGTAGTGTCGTAACCTTAGTAACATTGTTCGCACATTTGTTAGGTTCGTTGCTGTGTAACGAGTTGAAAAAAATACATTCGCACTTCGAAGGGACTTAAGATGGAAATTCTGTAACATTTGTTTTTTCTGGTTCTCTTACTATAAAGTATAGAAGCATGTTATACAAATGTTGCCTCAGTCAAAAATATAAAACAACGGGATGTTCTAGCATTACACAATCAAAACTATAGTATAGTTTTGATTGTGTAATGCCAGAACATCCCATTGTTTTATATTAGTAGAGTTTTGATTGTGTAATGCTAGAACATGTCATTGTTTTATATTTGTATAGTTTTGATTGTGTAATGATAGAACATCCTGTTCTTTTTATATTTGTATAGTTTTGATTGTGTAATGCCAGAACATCCCATTGTTTTATATTCCTTATTACTATAAGATAGCTTCTCACATAGGTGACAAGATCGTGGAATGGGGAGGAGTTTCATTGAGTAACAAGACGTTTGAGGAAGTGTCAGCAGTCATAGAGAGAACTGGTGATACAGTAGAGGTGGTGGTGGAACAGGATAATAAATGGTAGGATTTTCCCTGTCTCTTACTTTAACTATTGTAAACCATCAGTAATGTAGTCTTTACTATTCTATAACTGTTGTTAGAGTAGTAGTGGAACAGGGCAACAATTGGTAGGTTTTTGATACTGAGTATGTGTGGTTAGAGTAGTGGTGGAACACGGCAACAATAGGTATGTGTGGTTAGAGTAGTGGTGAAACAGGGCAACAATAGGTATGTGTGGTTAGAGTAGTGGTGGAACAGGGCAACAATAGGTATGTGTGGTTAGAGTAGTGGTGGAACAGGGCAACAATAGGTATGTGTGGTTAGAGTAGTGTGGGACAGGGCAACAATAGTTAGGTTTTTACTACTGTGTAGGTATTGTGAAGTGTTGGTGGAACAGGGCAACAATAGGTATGTGTGGTTAGAGTAGTGTGGAACAGGGCAATAATAGTTAGGTTTTTACAACTGTGTAGGTATTGTGAAGTGTCGGTGAAACAGGGCAACAATAGGTACGTTTTTACTATTATTAAATTGCCGTCTTCTTTCAGTAACTCCCCATCGTAGATATATATATTACTAGAAATAACGTAGAGTTTAATGATTATTTTATATATATATATATATT